TAATAATAAAAAATAGAAACCCCACACTAGAACTTCTGAGCTTTCCAGTACGAGTACGGAAAGTCTCCAAACTGTAAGTCCAAATCGATTCAAGTATTAGCAAGCACATACGATTCAGACATCAAAGCTCAAATCTGCAGCCCACATTAACACAGAACATCAGTCAGACAAACAAACATCCACGGCAAATCTCAGACTCCGAGTACTGTCGTATAAACGAGAAACCACAAACCACAAATTCAAAAAAATTCAAAAACCATAATCCATCACAAAAAAAAAAAAAAAAAAAAAAAAGGTTTTGTATCAATCTCCGCCAGAATCAGGCGACCCGTCTCCATAAGATACCAAATTCGCCTTATTGCAAGGCGGCGGGCTGCCGTCGGACGGTGACCTAGAGCGGCTCTTATGGGCCGGGCTCCTCAGGGATTGTGGAGAGCTTCCGCGCGATTCGGAACGGCTCCTGCTCGGGCTCCGAGAAGGGGACCTCCGTCTGGGGGCCCGTGGTGGGCTCCTGACTGGGCTTGGGCTTCTGCTGTAGCGGCGGCCGCGGTAGCGGATTGGACTGCGAGATAGGCTTGGGCTGCGGGTCCGGCTTCGCCGGCCGCCTCTGTATCTGCACAACCAAGTTTTCATTAGAGATTTGTTAAGAGTTGAAAAGTTGCGAAAAATTGGAGAGAAAAGAAAAAATGCCTTCTGGCTAAAGGTCGTGTGAATACAGAACCATCACAACGAAACGTGCTTCGTGTAACCATTTAAACTTAACTAAAGTGTCTAACAGACTAATAGTAGAATCCATCAGAAGTCGATATAACCTACTAGCCTCGTACAAAGCTAGACAAGAATACTTCAATGAACAGGCATGAAAGGATGCAACAGATAAAATAAAGAATAAATTATCTAACAGGCCCAACTCAATAATCAGGTAGATGTTAATGCCGGAAAAGACAGTTTGAGATGTCGGCAATTTATTTTCTTTTAAAAGGATAAAAGATAAAAGATAAAAAGGCAAAAACCCACAAAAATTAAGTGATCACAAACCTTGGTGGAGTTCTTCCTCGAGGTGGGCTCCTGTAGCGTCTAGGTGACCTTCTGTAGTATCTACAGAAACAAAAGCAAAGAACAAGGCAGATATTAAGTAACACAGGAAATGCACGACGAAGTTGGTAAAAATTTACCATCAAGGTTTAATCACAATATATAGCATATATTATGCATATAAATATGTGTATGCCAGAGAGAGAGAGAGAGAATGCCATTTTCCGTATGTGGCAGAATTAGTTATGACAAACATCCCATGCATGTTTCAATTGGCAGAAAAGAAGAGACCAATATATAAGATTTTCTCCTTACCGGTCACGATCTCCTCTAGCACCATAACGGTAAGACCTCACGGGTGAACGATCAGGTGATCGGCTCCGACTCCTGTAACGCCGGACATATGCGTACCGGTCGCTAAATCC